GGGAGACAGATTGTTTCAGGCTCCTGGGACAACACCATCCGGATCTGGGATGCTGAGACTGGGGCAGCCCTCGGTGCACCATTGACTGGCCACAGTGGCACAGTTTACTCAGTCGCCTTTTCCCCAGATGGGAGACAGATTGTTTCAGGCTCCTGGGACAACACCATCCGGATCTGGGATGCTGAGACTGGGGCAGCCCTCGGTGCACCACTGACCGGCCACAGCGGCAGGGTTCTGTCAGTCGCCTTTTCCCCAGATGGGAGACAGATTGTTTCAGGCTCCGGGGACAACACCATCCGGATCTGGGATGCTGAGACTGGGGCAGCCCTCGGTGCACCATTGACTGGCCACAGTGGCACAGTTTACTCAGTCGCCTTTTCCCCAGATGGGAGACAGATTGTTTCAGGCTCAGATGCCCACACCATCCGGATCTGGGATGCTGAGACTGGGGCAGCCCTCGGTGCACCACTGACCGGCCACAGCGGCAGGGTTCTGTCAGTCGCCTTTTCCCCAGATGGGAGACAGATTGTTTCAGGCTCCGGGGACAACACCATCCGGATCTGGGATGCTGAGACTGGGGCAGCCCTCGGTGCACCATTGACTGGCCACAGTGGCACAGTTTACTCAGTCGCCTTTTCCCCAGATGGGAGACAGATTGTTTCAGGCTCAGATGACCACACCATCCGGATCTGGGATGCTGAGACTGGGGCAGCCCTCGGTGCACCACTGACTGGCCACAGTGACACAGTTCTGTCAGTCGCCTTTTCCCCAGAGGGGAGACAGATTGTTTCAGGCTCCTGGGACAACACCATCCGGATCTGGGATGCAGAGACTGGGGCAGCCCTCGGTGCACCACTGAGTGGCCACAGCAGCGAAGTTTACTCAGTTGCCTTTTCCCCAGATGGGAGACAGATTGTTTCAGGCTCCTGGGACAACACCATCCGGATCTGGGATGCTGAGACTGGGGCAGCCCTCGGTGCACCACTGACCGGCCACAGCGGCAGGGTTCTGTCAGTCGCCTTTTCCCCAGATAGGAGACAGATTGTTTCAGGCTCCTCTGACAACACCATCCGGATCTGGGATGCAGAGACTGGGGCAGCCCTCAGTGCACCACTGACTGGCCACAGCAATTGGGTTCGGTCAGTTGCCTTTTCCCCAGATGGGAGACAGATTGTTTCAGGCTCCTCTGACGACACCATCCGGATCTGGGATGCCGAGACTGGGGCAGTCCTCGCTGCACCACTGACCGACCACAGCGGCATAGTTCAGTCAGTTGCCTTTTCCCCAGATGGGAGACAGATTGTTTCAGGCTCCAGGGACGACACTATCCGAATCCGGAATTCAGAGAGTGCACCACTCACTGGCCACATCAACACAGTTTACTCAGTGTCAGGCTCGGATGCTCAAATGCGCCTCATCTGGGACTTAGAGTCATCTGTGCCCATTGGGGATGCTGAATCTCTGCAAATGGTATGGTTTCTGTACTCTGTGTTTGCTAGTTGCTTATTAGTTCAGATCATTACCTCAACCATGTCCACAGATGGGTGGGTAACTGATTCCCTCTTTCACCGCCTTGTATGGGTTCCGGCTTGGCTGCGGGCTCATTTCTGTGGTCCTCCCCTCTCACTTGTTATTGCTCCAAATGGAGTAACACAACTCGATCTCACAAATTTTGTGCATGGGCTTGACTGGGCAAAATGCATGCATGTTCAAGGTATCAATTCCACGTAGGGTATGGACTCAACTGTATCCCCCCGTTCCTATATTATCATTTTCTTGATTTCCCCTATATTTGTCAAAAGGCATGCATGTTCACCACTTATGCTGCTTGCAGGATGGATCTCTTTGTATAGGTTCCTAGCTTGACTGTGATCCCCCCACCTCACTTGTTATTATTTCAAATGGACTGTCAACATTTGACCTCCCTACTCGATAGGGAGGCCAGTTTGTTTTGGGTGGGGTGTATACAATGTAAAATGCTTGGTTGTGTGTCTTCTCAATTTTGTTTCATCAAGTAATGATTTATGGCTTCAACTATCCCAACAAACAACACCACTCTCTCAGCTAGCTGTGCCATCAACTTCCGAAACAAGACTTCCCAAGGTTGGGATGTACAGGTTTGGGGTGAAAAGGCTTGTTACTAGGTGGACGCACAAAAGTACACTCTTCCTAGGTGAGGTAATAAAGTGTCTATCTGAAAACTCCCAATTAAGGGCTATACTGCTTTGACTGGTTTTCCTCTATGGCTTGGCTAGCTAGATGCTGCTAACAGCCGACTCGGACTCCTTCGAATCTAAGCTCTTTTTTATACACATTACCTTGGCTAAGGCTCAAGGAAGGCAGGTGCACACTATGTGCTATCGGCTGTCCTCCTACCTGCTTTGAAGTCTGGTAGGTGTAAGCAACAGAAAAATGGTGCAAGGTCTGGTTGAAAAGACACCATGCCGCTCACTCACTAATTTCATCCCAACTTGCACTTTACTTTGACGATCCTACAAAAAAGACACTCTGCACTCAGCGGCCAACATAGATGAACCTCCCAGTGATAAGCCGTGAAAATGACTACACATGAAAAGAGGCAAATATTTTCATTTTAGACGTGAACTATTTCGCTGGCAAGCTATCATATAGAGCGATTTCACTGGGTGCAAGCCACCACTTGCAGGCCCTGTAAATTATAAGCAAATTGTAAGCAAATCCATTAATTGCCAAGCATTTGCTTATTTGTGGGGTGTGCAAATACAAAATATCCTTGTCATTTGCCTGAAAGTATCCTGAGTCTTCAGTACCGCACTTTTGTCCCAAACAGGCAATTTTTCCTCTCTGATACAATCAATACATTATTTCTGGTCACCTGGTGCCTTAAGGGAGAGAGAGACAAATGTACCCTCGTGCTTCTTTGTTGTCTTTTCCCTCTCTCCCTAAATACGCACCCGGCGACGTCAAACATGCATCATTTACCCCCCCTTTCTGGCCTTTCATGAGGGAGGACTCGCTCTCGCGGCTCAACACGTGCACGGGCACTGGTGGGGGGAGAGAAGGCTAGAGAAGGCTGTGGCACCGTGGTTGGTGTTATTATTCACAGCTGAGGTGGAGGTGTTGAGCCCGAGAGCGTTGAGGGAGAGGGCCGTCAGGCCGACCCACGAGAAAGAGGTTGTCGTCAGTCGGTGAAGATATTCAATATTCTGGCAGAAGAGGAAGGGGAAAAGTAGTCTCTCGTAGACAGACAATACAACAAACTAACTCGTACCTCGTTATGTTGTAGTCTGTTGGATAGGGTGATCCATTGATCGCTAGGCCGCTTATGACAAATCACCAAATTTCCCGGCGGTTGAGGTGAATGCCGTGACGCGTTTCGTACTCAGTTTACACGTTATTGTTGTTTAATATGCCGAGAGGGGTGTTTCGCCCGGCCAAATTTTGTTCGCAGATGTCGAAAACGAAGGTGCCGAGTTTTTGATGGTTTGGCACGGACTTGTCGGCCGAAGGCCGACCTGTTGGTTTTCAGGTCAAAGCCGCCCAACGAGAATATTCTGAGGGGTGGAATACCTTCCTTGGGTCACGATTTTGTGGAATTTCCACAGAGGGAGGATCCGCGGTGCCGTATAAGCGGAGGGGGAAAAAGATTTGTCAGCCCCTGCCAAATGATTGGTAATAAGCAACCTACTCGACAACGGTGGCGCGATCAACTACAGACTAGGGGAAAAGGGAAAGGTAGAAGAGAAGAAGGTACAAGGCAAAGCGAAGGGAGTAAAGTAATGATGGTGTGCGGGAACAAGGGGGAAGGGAGGAAGATTTGAGCGTGGATAGGGATTATTATTAAGAGGGTTGGGAGTGGGAGGGAAGCAAAGCAAAGGGAGGGAGGGGAGGACAAAAGGCGGAGCAAGGCATGGTGGAGGGGGGGCGAAAATAAGTGCAAAGGACGACAAAGAAAGGGAGGAAGGGAGGTATAAACCACAGAATATCGACCGAGCAGGGAGGGTGAGGGGATGCGGAGGAGAGTATGTGTGTATGTATCGATGTAGGTATGGAAAGTAGGACAACAAACAAAGCCCGAGCGAGAGAACAAATGGAAGATGAGAAGTAAAAAGGCAATAAAGGAGAGAAAAATCAAAGGAGGGCACAAGTACGTGGTAACAAGAAAAGAAAAGAAAAGAGCCTGCAAAAAACCAAACCCACTTAAGGCTGTTGTCATGTACTTTACTTAGGATGTATAAAAAGTTGTAATATACAAGTTCTTTGTGAGAGTATCCAGGTGATGTGAATTCCGCGGCCCCAAGACGCCCTGGCATTATGAAAGTGTGTTGTTGCCCAGAAGCAGTCGGCGTAGACAGGATCGTTTGTGACCCAGAAGGACCAGGCAAAGAGGGGATTGAAGGAGTCGCTTGCGCTGCAGGTCTCGATGATAGCCTTGAAGGGCTCTGACCAGAGCTCAGCGAGAGAGGGGTAGACATCACCTACCCGACCGTGAATCGAACGGGGACCTCCTGCCTACATACCCATCTGTTGGCTGAGTAAGGAAGGCAGGTGCACACCATGTGCTACCAGGTGTGTCCATGCCTACAATTTGGAGCCGAGTAGATACAGGTAACACACTATATTGTATTTATTCACTACTTGAAGCAACTCAACAACTCATCACCCGACCCCGAGTCAAATGGGGGCCTCCTACCAACATCCTGTATCACAGACAGGGCTTTCAAGGAAGGCAGGTGCACACCATGTGCTACCAGGTGTCCTCCTACCTGCATTGAAGTCTGATAGGTGTGAACAAAAAAAACAGTGCAAGGTGTAGTTGAAAAGACACTGCCATCGCACTCAACTTTTACGATCCCATAAATGAAAAAGACACTCCGCGCTCAGTGGCCAGCATAGATCAACCTCGCGGTACTTCCATTTATGTAAGGAGAGTAGTTATTTAGTTTTGAGAGAGATGAAGAAGGCAAGGGGGGGGGTTGAAAAGAAAGAGAAAGAAAAACAAAAGCCGACCTCAGTCATTATCACCCGACCCCGAATCGAACAGGGGCCTCCTGACTACACATTCAACCGACTTCTCGTTTACGGAATGCAGGTGCACACCATGTGCTACCAGGTGTCCTCCTACCTGCTTTGAAGTCTGATAGGTGTAAACAAAAAACAGTGCAAGGTGTGGTTTCAACACACCATGCCACCCACTCCCTAATTTCATCCCAACTTGCACTTTACTTTGACAACCCTATGAAAAACACTCCGCACTCAGCGGTCAACATAGATGAACCTCGTGGTACTTCCACCCATGCAAGGTGGGTAAATCAATTAGTTTGAGAGGGACGAGAAGATGAGGGGAAGGTTTGAAGGATTTTAAAAAAGTTCTCCCAATTTCGGCGAACATCACCCGACCCCGAGTCGAACGAGGAGCTCCTGCCTACATGTTTCAACTGACTACTCATTTATGGAAGGCAGGTGCACACCATGTGCTACCAGGTGTTCTCAGCTTTGTTTGGCGGCTGGATAGGCGTGAGCAAAAAAACAAAAAAACAGTGCAAGGTGTGGTTGAAAAGACCAAGAAAAGACACTCTCACGCCCGCTCGCTAATTTCATCACAAATGGCACTTTACTTCACATTCTAAATAAAAGACACTCCGCGCTCAGCATAGACGAACCTCGTGATACTTCCACCCGTGCAAGGTGAGTAGTTATTTGGTTTGGAGAGAGATGAGAAAGACGTGGGGAAGGTTTGAAAAGAAAGAGAAAGAAAAAGCCAACCAAAGTCATTATCTGACCTCCTGCCTACATATGCTTTGTTGTTATTGCAGCGCGGTTTGAACCAACGACCTTTGGCAACTCCCAAACTTTTTTTTCCTTTTCAGAATGACATCAGTTTTGAGAATTGCAATAAAATCAATGAAGCCTATTAGTGATAATCTACGCGTCTTACCTGACACTCGGAACATGTGCCAATTTTTTTTTTACCTCGCCCATCAACCTCTTCAACTCAACCTCCGCCCAAGGATTGTCGCGACGTGGGTCCCTGCCCGTAACATTGAGGTAGAACTTCACCTTGAGAAGGCACGGGAAGAGGACAAGCCAAGGCAGAATCTGTAGGCCCATGTCCGCTGAGGAGCAGGATATGACGACAGAGTAGACGCAGTGGAGAGTGCGTGCGGTGGAAGCTGCTTCATTGTCAAAAAGAGGTTCATCCATGGAGGAGGAGGAGGGGTTGGAGTCGGGGGACGACTCATGAATTGTTAGCTCGAGGTGGGCGTTGGAGGACCTCTGAGAGAGGAGACGGAAGGCAGGGGTAAGGTTGCTCAGGCTGCTCAATGCGTCGTGTGTATATGAGAACATGAAGGTCTCGAGGAGTGGGGAGAGGTGGAGAGCATCCATGGCAAGGCAGATGTTTTCTGTGCCGACTGCCTTCATATTGATAAGGGTCGGATGGGCTAGCGGCGAGCTGATGAGGGGAGATGAGGGTTTCCGAGTGAAGTGTTATATCCAGGTCCGGGGGGAAGGGAAGAAAGGGCCGGTTGTCGATGGACTAGGAATATGGTGACCGAGGTATTCCGGTTGGCTACCAGACACAACAATGATACCGAGGGAGGAGGATGGTCGACCGGAGTAACACAACGTCACAGAACAGTAGGACGAGTGTACTATCCAAGCCACCGGAGTGAGGAGGAGAGTGAGGGGAGGATTCCGGTTACGGGGAGACTGGAGTGTAAACCCAGAAGCAACTACAGAGCGCAGAAGCAACTTAATTATTAAACTGAAGAACAGGAGTGTAGTCTAGGGGTTTATATAGTACAGTACTTGTAATCTGAACATAAGGAGTTATATGAAAACCATGTGGAGATTCCTAACGGGATCACCTCATGTTGTTGAAGAACAAGGAAGTGTGAGAATGGAAGATGTGAAGCATGTGGAAGGAAGCAGAGTCCATATGGTACGCACAGGATATACAAGGAGCCATTAAGATAGGCCACGTTGCATTGATAACACTTCTCCAGGGATTCCGGACACTCCGGAGGACCGGAGTGACCGGAATCGCCTGAGAGGTTAGCAACCGTTCCGGAATGATATCCCAAAGGTGGATTGCATGGATGTAACACGAAGGATGTGAAATGCCGCAGTCTGGGTTGTCGGGCGAGAAAACCACCAAGCACCGTTGGATCTATGCCAGATCGAGATATGGAAAGTGTCTCGAGGCATGGCAATGTAAGATCCCGAAGAACAGCAGCCAGCTGTTCGTCCGCGAAAGGCAAGTCGTTAAGGTCAAGCAGCGTGATAGAAGAGATATTGAAAACGAGCATCGTGTAATCAACCCCGGGCGCATCGTGCACCCAGACGTTGACCGTCCGTAGGCTCTCCCGGACCTGCTCCCTCGTGAGGGGTTCCGGCTGCATACCCGACATCTGCACCGTGGTCCGCAACATGATCGTTGTCGATAGGGAAAGGCACAGGTGATACCGCGGGTGTCACGACGTCACACCGTACCCGTGACCCGTGATACCGTACCCGTTGTCCCACGGGTACGGTATTACGGGTATGAACCCGCGGTATTTACATAAACACCCGCGGTTCAATTACCGGGGTATTTAACCGTGGTATTTCACTTGTTCTATTGACTTTACAGCAAGGGAACATGCAATAGGTAATATTAATCATGAAAAACTACCCATACATGCACATTAAGGTGAAGTACTGTGTTTTAAACTAGAGAAACACCGGAGAAACATTGGTGCTCTTAATCATGTGAGCGGAAAATGATTTCCAGGTGAAGAAATAGTGGTTTTGGGTATCAGTACTCACAATCCAAATATTATGAGAGTCAGAGACTCTGAATAGGCTACTGGCACCATAGAAATGACCTCACAGATTTTATTTTGTGTCATTTTTACTGGAAAAACCTGATTTTCTCTGAATATAATGTATTGCAGCTGCATTAGGGCTTGCAATTGGTGCTCACTATGTCTTACTACTAGGCCCACACCTCTCAAAATTTCCCTAGATTTCTGGGTACGGTAGTGGTGGAGAATAGGTCAAATCAAGCATTGTTTGTCAGTATTTACCTGTCATCCCAAAAAGGAATCTTGTGGTTCAATCCAACCAGTTTCCTTCCACAAGTCATAATCATGATGCAACATAGTCCCTTAGCTCAACTGTAAGTGCTCTTGTCTCGAATCTGACTTGAATCCAGCAGCTCTTGGGTTCAAATCCCCCAGGAGCCCTTTTTGAGGGCTGCGGGTCAGGTACCGCAGTATTACGGGTAGTGTAACGCCGCGGGTGGCGGTATTCACGGTGTTGACAAAATCACCTACCGCACCCGCACCCGCAGCACCCTCACCCGTAATACCGCGGGTTTGCCCAAACCCGTGCCTTTCACTAGTTGTCGACGGGCCGCCCGCAATGCCCCGAATCTTTGCCATGAGGGTATTCCGCTCCGACAGAGCATTGAACTGGAGCGCGTCGAGCCTCCATCCGGCAATTTCCTCCGCGCAGCACACAAACATTGCAAACTGGCCCACCACAACGATGGGCCCAGCGGCTTTGCTCGCCATCCCAGAAAGCACACGGCAGAAGATGCCCATAAGCTCGCGGGCCGAGTACTCGACGGGGATGCGGTCATTACGGTGTGCATGAAGTAGACTGCCTGCGAAGGAGAGCCCGAGGTCCCTCAAACTCTGCGCCCGAGGGACAAACCGCTGCAGGGACAAGAGATCGCGACGGATGTCATAGGGCCGGAAGTGGCGTACAAGATGCTCCACTGGCGGCGGGATGCAGGAAAGCTGCAAGGGGTGTATAATGTAGGCCGGGCCAGTAATCTCCTTCGCGGCTGTAGAGATATCATGTCTAGCCAGGTATTCGCTAATTGTGAAGGCATTGAATGTGCTGCAGACTGCAGACACCCGGAGAAGGTCTTTGTCTGTCATTTCGCGGATAATGGTGTACCAAAGTTCCATAGGTAGAGCAGCCTTTACAGAGTTGGGAGAACTGTCAGACCGAGACCACCAGCGAGTGAGGGGGGAGAGCGAGGGATTTCATGGTAATGACTGTAGTGGTCCAGGAAGAGTGTATAGCTGCCCCTTGGATGCTGTTCATGAACCTCTCAAGTCATTTTTGAGGCAGTGAACGTCGAGTGTCAAAAAGGAGATCGTCACAATTGTGACCCTTACCTCCGGAGTAATCCTTCCCAAAACGGAAGAAACGAGTGGTTTGTGTTCAGCACTAGTATCGACAAGCAGCCCGATCACAAGATACACGCAGGAAAAAGAAAGAAAGAAACGTGAATTCATCATTTTTTTTTAATACATTCATTTATTATCCACGTTGCGTCTCGCCCATTTAGTATTTCTCCATCTACCGGTTCCTGTACGCCTCCTACACCCCACAATTAGCATCCCTCCAGCATCACCGCAACAAAACGAGCGCACCTTGATCTCTCTATCCAGTCGCGGACCTCTGAATCTTCTGCGCCGCTGTAACCAGCCCGCTCTCTGGCGTCCACTCATCCGGCGTCAGCACCACCGCGGTCAGCGTCTCCGTCGCCTTGGACCCGCTCTTCTTCCCCACCGCGATGCACTCCCTTTGCACCAGCGCCGCGACCCTGGGGTCGACGCGGGCGTCCAGGACTCTCGGCTAGCGCCTTGGGCACCGGACACTGCAGGCTGCAGAACGAAGACAGGAGCCAAACCGCTCATTCTCGCTCCCAGCCCAAGGAATTCGGCCGCTTGCAAGTAGGCAGACAGAGGTGCGCAGTCCTCATACGGAGGGAGAGCGAATCGACCAAGCAGAAGCCGTAAACCGCACGCCCACGGGCTACGACCTCGGTCTATCGCACTCGCACTCGCATGAGCCAAACGAGCTCTGCAATGCAATGGGCCGCGCTCGCCCAAGAGGCCGGTTCTCCCTTGCTTGCAACGTCCAGCAAGGCCAGTTCTCCACCACCAGAATCGACCGCCCGCCCCCGAGCCGAGGTCGGAATGGACCTCCCCGAAAATTGAAGACCAACAAAACAAAACACAAGACGAAAGATGAGAGGGAAGACGAAAAGAGCAGGAACAAAAGAGTAACGCATTAACAAAGAACGAAGAAAATCGCACCGCCCCCCGCTCCTCCGTCGCGCCCGCTCCCTGTCGTCCGCGGGAGAAGTATCCCGCCTCGGGGACGTCGCGGAGCTACAGAGCACAAAAACGGGGTGTTAGCAGGTACCGGGAAGCGAGGGTAAATGGTGGCACCTTGATCTCAGCCGCCCCCCCGTCGCCGCCGTTACCCCGCTCAGAATCACGCTGTCCGCCAACCGCGCAAGGCCGGGCTTCCCCCGCTTCTTCGCCTCCACCGCGCCCTTGAAGACACTGCTCCGAATTGCACCCCCCGCCTGCACCTTCCCCCCAATCCCCTTCCGTACCGTCTCCCACACCGCGGGCACGCCTCTCACGATGCTCGGCCGGAACTCCATCGCACACTCGCGTCCGTCCGCGATTCGCCCA